TAAAAGTGTATAAACGAGGAGGGAGAGAGAGAGGATCGGCGAAGAAGAGAAACGAATGGAACGAAATTGGCGCGAAGTTTAATCACGACTCGACCCGAGATTCTTGGAGAAACTGGTTCGTCAGTGGTCGCCGGATTAAATCGGCGATGATTAATATCACGCCATTCGAACGAGGCGGCGTACGCGGTTAACGTTGACCGGATGTAATGCGCGGCCCGGACTCGCATAATAAATGTAGATATTTCCGATTACAAATTGAAACATCCGCCGACAGGTAGCCCGAACTCGGGACCTGGCAGACGCACGCCAGTGTGTGTTCCCTCGGCCGTGGCGAGATTGATTTATCGAGGCGAAGAGATCGAGGGGAAAGTAAACCGGTTCCGTTGACGAAATGCCTCGGTTTCTGTCGCCCCCCAGGAAAAAAATCCACTTTTGAAACTGTGCACGGTTCTCGTAGCAGAGAAGTCGCGCAGAGAGTGGATACGAGAGAAATTTTAATTGTTGTACGGGAGAAATATCTGGGAACAGGTTTAATATTTTATCGGGAGGAGGTAGGAAAGTGTACGTTTTTTTTAAAAAATCTACAACAAGATTCCAGGATCGAGAAACTAACGATATACAGGGATAGGAAATTCTATGTTTTTAAAGTCTAAAGCGGGATGATTTTAGATCGAACGATACATATTATTACAGGATGAGGAATGGACGCGATGTCCACATGTCTAATAAATTGATTATTTCGATTCATTATCTGTACTTGATTACGTACTATGTGTATTCATGAATGTAACGAGAGAACCTACTCATTACAAATGGTATTCTCTGCTTGTGTTTCAAACTGGAAACTCTTGCTGAGAATTCCAAAGAGTACTCGATATCATCGCGAAACAATTTCATCGAAAACTCTCTCTCTCCAATCTTATCAACGATCGAACCTACAATCAATGGATACCTTTCTAAAAACCCTCCGTACATCCAGAAATTAGCCTCGTGCACCACGTGCACCGTAACGGGTGACAGCGAGTGCGGAGAAGAGCACATCAAGACCAAATTAGGAATCGTCCGCGCGTAGGAGTTTCGAAGAAGGCGGCATCTTCTCTCGATTTGCTCCTTTGCTCGTCTCTCGGTTTCGCGGTTTAACGACATCGATCGTCCCCGCATCCGCGTCTACCCTCGCCTACACTTCACCCTCCTTTTCTCCTTTAACTCCACCCCCCTTCCCTGACCGCCGCATTCCACGCTAATTGCGAAATGCGACTGCGTTTGTGATGCAATTTACATGGTCGTATTCGTGGTGGAGCGAGGCTTATGGTGGTCATCGGCGTTCTCTCTATCGGGCACACACTCTATCGTTCCATAAGAGAATCGAACCGAGAATCCCTCGTGCGTCTATCCACGGAGCAGAATCTGGGCGCGCGGGATTCGAAGGGTCGTGGGAAACGATTCACCTCTGTTCGAACGATTCGTTCGTGTATGCGAACGATCACCGATCTTATCTGGGTCGGATTATCAAGTCGTCTCGAGAGTGCGCGAGACCGGCTGTCGACTGGTAGAGAGATAGGAAAAATGTTGAATTGATTTTCTAAAAATGGTGCTTTTCCACGAAAGACGTTTGTTTTAAATTAATATATTTCTTTTCTTTTCTTTTTTTTCAATTCGTTATTGGGTTTATTCAAGATGGAGGAGAATTTAGAAAGAATAGAAAACGAGGTTTACAAACGAGGCTTTCTAGTAATATTGAGTCCTAGAGAATAGATAGATATCGCGTACCGTATAGGTTTTACGACTTAGAAACATCCTTAGAAGATGGTATCAAGGGTGATAAATAAACTTTTTCTCGATGTTGCTCGACGATTAGGAAAAGAGTAATAATCTTCGGTTACTAACGTAATAATTGAGACGTAGTATACGCGTTATAATATTTTTCGAAACGTCGTAGGTACATCGGGATGCAAAAATTTTTTCTCTTTAAAAAGACGCGAAAAATACGAGGCATCCTACGCATCCGTTTTCCACCGCTGTCTTCATTTATTAATTTATACAGACCGGCCCTCGTGTTCACCGTTCACAACTACTTGCGCATCGCGCGTTAGAGAGTTCAATGAAAAATTACGCACGCGAGTAAATGATATCATCCCCCTGCAATCTTGCCGTTCCTCTTGTAACGAAAAAGAGGGGGAATATTATATTGTAACACGGAGCGCAATTTATTACGCGATTCTGATTTACGTTAATTCGCACGATAAATATCGGATCATTAATCCGAGCCGTGTCGTTTATTTTTCAATTACGATTCCCCCTCCTCCTTCTCCTCCTCCTTCTATAGTGGCCTGGCGGAAGGATGAAAATGGCGGCTCGTTTTATGAAGCCTTTTGACGCGAGCTGGCGCGTTCCTGCGCACGCCTGTGCCGCAAATTTCCGTGGATACCGAGCCTGTCGTAATAATATACAATTAACCGAAATTAGGTACCGCGTTACAATAAGCTTGCCTTTTCATTTACGCTACCGCGCCGCTAGAAAAGAATCAAAATGGACCCCCTCCCTCCCTTCCTCCCCTTGTCTCGTCCGGTTTTTCGTCGAAACGCGAATTCGTCCGTTTCGACCCACGAGAGATCATCGCATCTCTATTTATTCTCCGTTTCCCCGAGTTTCGAAAAACTCGTTTCTCAAACTCGAGTCGATCGTATTGCTCGTAATTACACGTCGAACCGGCCGATTTATTCGGATAGAAAGGGAAGAGATATGCTCCTTTGAGCGCGGGCAACATAGAGGGAAATAATAAATTGAGAGCACGCAGGATGGGCGCAATTATCAAGGATGGAGGATGCTCGTTTACGTTTTCGACGTTGCGAGAATTTTTCAGCGTTTAAACGATCGTTATATTCCATCGATCCATTTCGTTCCCCGTGTAAAATTTCAAACGACGGAAACCGAGATGGGAGGAGAGGGGGGATTAACGAGGCTATCATGACATGTAAATCATCGATAGCCAGGCGTCCGTGTAATTAGTTCCCTATATTATATTATGAATTTATCGCAAGTTGGACTCGATTAATCCCGTGATCGCGATGTTCCGTTATTTTCGATCGTATATCAAACGATAAATATGATTTATTGAATTCTTACTGGAGCGCGAAGAGTAAACAACTTATCGTTTACTCTTATTTTACGAAATTACCTCGAGGATCGAAATACAGGAACAATTAGAACGAAATTACACATTCTAACTTCCTCCGAACTTTTTTATACACAATCCGAATTCAATTTTAAATTTTACCATGAAAAGAAAAACGAACAGGTAAATAGAAAATTCGATTTTTTGCAAGATTTCAAAAAAAAAAAAAAAAGAAAGAAAGGAATGCCATCAGAGACA